GGTCACACCATCTACTTACCATCAGTATTAACTGTATGCTCGTTTGTCACCCTTTTTCTACTTGGAGAAAAAGTACAATTGAACCAGCAACCTGTGTTTCTTCCCACTGTCATTATTATGTTAGTAATAATATCGACCCTTCAGTCCCGTTCAGTCAATCAGGTTGTAATGTGAATATGATAGGCCTATTGCAGTGTTGTCTACCCCGACAAAAGTATTCGAAGCCGCTATTTATAAGATAATATTCCATCAGGTGAGTGCACAACTCTCAGACGCACAACACGGGTTTCGGCCAGGAAGGAGTACAACCAGTAACTTTCTCTGTCATGTAGCACATCTGGCACCGAGTGGAGACAAAGGGGTGAAAACGGATGCGGCATTTTTTGACTTCAAAAAAGGATTTGATTTCGTAAATCATAACGTATTACTTAAAAATCTAGCAGGGTGGGTTTTAACCCACATTTACTGCACTATTTTGCTAGTCATATGTCCGATAGGCAGCAATATGTAGAATATGCGGGACATAAGTCAGAGCCATATTTCTCATGGTCCGGGGTAAGTCAGGGCAGTAACCTTGGCCCTTTGGAGTTCTTGCTGATGATAAACGACCTACCAGAAGTGGTGAAAGACGCTAAGTGTTTATTGTTTGCTGACGACCTCAAATTATCTCTTGCCATAAAAAATGGGGATGACTGTGCCAGACTACAAAGGGACATAGACAGGGTTGTGAGTTGGAGCAAAGATAATCTCTTGCAATTTAATAGCTCTAAGTGTGTGTTAATTACTTTTTCTCGCGCACACACTCCTATTTTACATAATTATCACACTGACGGGCTGTTGATGACAAGGTCAGAGAAGTTAAGGATTTAGGAGTAACTTTTAACACAAAGCTTACTTTTTATGATCACATCATGAGCATCTGTAAAAAGATCTTTTAGAAATCTAGGATTTATGCTTCGTACAGTGAGAGGATTCACAAACATAAAAGCTATTATCGCCTTATATAATGCATTGGTAAGGAGTCAACTCGAATGTAATGCAGTCATCTGGGCTCCGCATGAAACTAAGTATAGTCTCATGCTAGAGCGAGTACAAAATAAATTAATTAGATATTTATAAATGCGTTATTATGGTGTCTACCCAATTTATCATTTAATGTATCCAACTTTAATTATATTAGGTATGGTAGGATTTATTGAACTGAGGGTTAGGAGGGAACTCGCGCTCATCTCGTATATTTTTAAAATACTGCGAGGAAAATTGTTTAATGCTGAAACATTAGGGCAGCTTAATCTATGTGTTCCTGAGAGGTATGTGTGGCGCTGACGGCAGCCGTGACTGTTGGTGGAGCCGTGACGCGCGCACTCCACACGCTCAACTTAATAGCTTGTGAGACGGACCTATTTTGTTGCACTCTGAATGAATTCACAAACACAGCACTGTTTGTAATTTGTTACAAAAATTAAATAATCTACACAAATCAGTTAGACAGCTACACTATCGCATTAGGTAATCCTGTAATGATAGTTGTAAGTTTCAGATATAAATAAAAAAATGATAATTTTTTATTAGTAGCATGTAGAGTTTAAATTTGTGACAAATAAAAAATGTGAGTTTAGATTAAACTAAAAACTGTGTATAATTTTCTTCTTTTCTTTTAAAAATATACTGACAGTACTGTGAACGCTATCTAAAATCCAATCGCTAACTAATCAAAAATATCTGTAGTAGGAGTTGTTCATGGCACATCTGATCATATCTTGGTGTACCGTATCTCCGCCGCTTGACGCAGAAGTGTTTAGTGTATAATAATCGCTGGTTATGACGATAAATACGCATGTTATTTGCTGATGTTGTACCTTGTATTGGGTACGCATATCGTAATCGGTTTTATAGACGTATATTTAAACTGTATCTTGATACGCCACTTCCCATCTGTAGTCTTTTTGTCTAAAGAGCGAAATCAGCTCAACGATCTTGAAAAGTATGGATATGTAGAAATACAGTCACTTGGAAAAGAAGGCCAAATTGGTATCTAAGAACTTGACGTGCGCAGCAAAGCGGGACAGTATTTCATGTCGGCACACTGCCAGCTACTTTACAAGGCACAGGTTTGGCCTCACATGGAATAATGTTCCCATCTCTGGACTGAGACTTCCCAGTGCCAGCTCCTTCCACTTGACTGCATTCAGTCCAGAGCGTCTCGAATCGTCAACAACCGAGTTCTTTCCAATCGGCTCGATTCACTGGCGCTGCGAAGAGTTGTCGCATCTCTTTTCGTATTTTTTTATTTTTTATTTTTATTTTATCGCATCTATCACGGGAAGTGCTCTGAGTAATTATTCAGATTAATCCCAGCTGTGTGTTAAAGTACGTCTGTAATGTGTTTGTGTTCATATGCTTTGTCCAGCGCATGCGGCGTACTTTATCAGTGGCGGGTGCCGTTTCCCGAGTTCAAAAGGAATCTGCCGACACCTAACCATCTGGTAGGGATAGTGGATACGAGGGGCTGATAGGTAGTTTCCCTAGCGTTTAGTTGCTGGCCCACATGCTGTCGCGTCCAGCACCAATTCCAGACACCCTGGCAGCTGCCGTATGCGCATTGTATTTTTTCCATTATCCATATTATAGACGTTAATTAAGGGGAAACACCCTGACCAGGTACCGTTTAATGGTACGACCGTAAACACAAACGGGCATTTGCTCAATTCTGCCGGGACACGCCACTCACACCTCTTGGCAGACAGTGACTGACTGCGTCGACATAGCAGTTTTGTCACTTTACTGTTACATCAGCGGGCGATAGGATCGCCACTTCCATACGTCTCGTTATTAATATGGGTTATATATATATATATATATATATATATATATATATATATATATATATATATATATATATATATATCTTAGTTAAAATGAAAAGATAAATAGACATAAATATCAATAAAATAAAATAAATACAAAAAAAAATAAATAAGATCCAACCAGATGGAAGCACTCGGCAGGGGAGACCAAACGGCCGAGGGTTAGGAGGAAAGGGAAAGGTAACGGCGGACGATGCGGGCGGTATCGCGGAGCACCGCCTTCTGCATTTGAGCTCGGAGCGGTCCGTTACGGAGTCCGAGTCACCTCAGATGACCCGAGAGGCTTACTGGGATTAGCCCATTCGCAGAGACGACTACAGGAAAAATTTAGGCCGGCAGACCACCCCACATGTCAGTTAACCCGTAAGCCAGGTCCAGATATTTGGTCGTTTATCTCTTTCGGCTTTCACGAGGTTCTCGTCATACGAAATGGTAATGTCGATCAAAAATATCCTTGAGAGTGCCCGGTCCATCAGCACAATATCAGGCTTATTCGCAAGAATAGTCCTGTCTGTGATGATGGCCCGGTCCCAGTAAAGCCTGGCGCGGTCATTTTCGAGCACGACTTCCGGCAAGTACATGTAATACGGCAATTTCCGGTCCACGAGACCGTATTTCAGAGCGAACTCCTGGTGTAGAATTCTGGCTACTAGGTTGTGCCTGTGCAAGTACTCAGAGTTAGAAAGCGGCGAACAACCAGAGATGACATGCCTAATTGACTCACCGGGATGGCGACAAGCTCGACAGACGTCGATCTAGAGCCATCTTTTAGGATGTATCTCCGGTAGTTGTTGTCCTTAATAACCTGATCCTGTATTGCACAGACAAAACCCTCGGTTTCCCCGAAAAGGTCACCGAAACGTAGCCGGTTGAGGGGGGCGACTGTATCTACGAAGGGCTCATGCAGAGCCCTGTAGCTCCCGTGGAGCTCCTTCTCCTTCCATACGGTCTCCCGGTCGGAAATGCTTTGTACTGCGGGGCCTGCTATTGCTCGTTGGCTAAGGATAGAGGGGTAAGCCCTTTATCACTAGAAATGACGTCATTATAGAATGGATCATCCGATCTCGCCAGGAAGTAATGACGGAGGCTGCACACTTCGCGATTATGCATGGTGAGCGCACTCAGGAAGCCACGCCCATCATGCTTTCGCGGCAAGTACAGCCTCATTACCGACGATCTCGGATGATGCATCCTATGGAACGTCATGGTAGTGCGGACTTTTCTATCGGGTGTTAAGTTCAGTCTGAGTCCACCTGAATATGTCAAATGTATACATTAGGACAGCCATGACCCAGCCGTTATATACGTGTGCCTTATTCACACCGGATAAAAGGCTGTTAACCACTTTGGTAAAGCGTGCATAAAACATGTCGCAAACTGATTGTTTCATACCAGCCTCATCGATACCGATTTTCTGTGACATACCCAGGTATCGGTATGTTGCAGCCTCGGAAAGGGTTCTTAAGTTGAGGGGCATAGATAAGTCTATGTCCTCAGAGTTAGCAACCCTTCCCCTTTCAACATGGAGGACCGCACACTTATCCGTCCCCAGCTCCATTCCAATAGAATTGCTAAATTCACAAGTGATGTTTAGCAATTCTATAAGATGGGAGCGACTGGAGGCGCATAATTTGAGGTCATCCATATAGAAAAGGTGGGTCACTTTTGTACCTCCTTTCCGAAGTTGAAATCCCCTCCCGGAGCCCTCCAGTAAAGTACTGAGAGGATTCACAGTGAGGCAGAACCAGATTGGACTCATACAGTCACCCTGGAATATACCCCTTCTTATCCTGATGCGGCTTTCCGCAGCCGTCATCCGCTCGCCTAGATGACAGAGGGTCGTACTCCACTGCCCCATACACTGCCTGAGGAAGTCTCGAACTGTACAGTCAATCTTGTACAGCTCGAGGACCCTCTTTAGCCATGTATGGGGCACCGAGTCAAATGCCTTTCTGTAGTCTGTCCAGGCGGCGGAGAAGTTCCGACTGTTGCGTTTCACCACTTTACCAATGACCGCGTCAATGAGAAGTGGTTCCTTGATTCCACGACCGCCACCCCGACATCCATTTTGAGCGCGCGACATCACCTGATTTGAGTACAGGTGACGAGTGATTCTCGCGTTTAAAATGGATGTTAGTGTCTTGTATATGGTCGGTAGACACGTGATGGGGCGGTATTTGCTCGGGTCTGTGGTACCCTGGTCTTTAGGAACCAAATGAGTGATCCCGGTAGTGAAGAGGCTTGGGAGCGACTTCTGGTTGAGAGCCTCTTGAAACTGTCGGGCGAGCACAGCGTGAACACCATGAACCCCTTCAACCAGTAGTGATGCAGCCCGTCAAGCCCCGGACTTTTCCAGTTCGGGGCCCTACGGACCGCCTCAGGTACGTCATCCGGCGTTATGATGACGGGGTCCATGGGCGTCATACCCGGACACTGACTCGCCACAACTTCCTTCCAAGGGCCCTCAATGTGGTTTACGGGCTCTGACCACAGGCTGCGCCAGAATGCGACCGTGTCGGCCTGATTCGGTGCTGGGCCCGTTCCACTTACCATTGGTCGCTCCAATAATTTATAAAGCCCCTTCTGATCACTCTGGAAGAGACGATTCTAGTTGAACCGTGTCGACTTCTCGGTATATCGCCGAATCCGTCTTCCCCAAGCAGCGATTCTCTGCTTCAGGTCGTCTATGCGCTCCGTCAGATTTTGCATTATATCCGGCTGGGACAAACTAACATTTGTCCCAGCAAACGCCATCCTGACGGTGCGCACAATCGTTGGCCTGGTATTGCCTGACCTGAAGCATATCAGTCTACCGATGAGGGCCCTAGCCTTTGCGATACGTTCTTCAATTCTTATTCTCCAGGCTGGGATAGCACTATTTTGTCCAGTAGCGCATCCAGCCGTGGAGATTTTGGCGCCAGTACGGCGCCAAAAAGAATTGAGTCCGTCTCGCAAAGGTCCCCACTGGCTTCCAAATAGGTCACCAGCATTGGGTTCAGAGCCCTCACGACAGCCCGATTCCCCTTGCTTAGGGCTATGCGGGGAAGTCGCGGTCGATTTTCGAGAGGCGTACTGCGCGTTTCCACAATCGCCTCTTCCAATGTACTCCTCATTTGCTCTAGTTCCAGTCCCTGGCGATTGTTCCATCATCGTTTGAATCAACCACAACTGGGGTATTCACGGCGGCATCCACGTTTGCCATTTCCTCTGCAAGTTGTGGCTCCGCAATTTATTAACATCTTCTAAAATTCTCATATCCATCAGTGATTTCTTTTTATTTAAAAAAATATTAGAGAAATCCCCGAGACAGTATAACAAAATTCATTACCCAATTTTCTGCCGTGGGTGTGTTGGTGTCTTAAGAGGTAATATGCATAAGCCAAAAAGATCTTATAGCTTACAATTGATAGTTTTAATTATAAAAAACTCTACCCCAACACGAGGTAAAGTAACAGTATGTTTTTTACATGGTAGAGCCAAGCTACAGCTATATTATGGGTGTAGCATGATTGGATCGGCTCTACCTGGGGGGAACCACGCCCTGACAGAATACCAGCGCATAATCAGCGCAATGCTGATTTGTTTCGTATGGTGAATGGTCTGGATTTATTTTCCTTTGCAATTTATGTTTGTAAGCTGCCTTCACGGTACAGCAGAAAATCCCACTGTCAGGGTAACGTTTTTTTTTTTTTCAGAAAGAAAAACGAAAAAATGATCACGTATATTATGTACGACATGACCGACTGAGGTCATAGCGCAAAATATTCATTTTTGTCGAAACGATTTATCGTAGCGATGATGATAGCGCTATAGTTTTATTAACAAAGTCTTTAATTGTGGACAAAAATACAAAAAATAATTTGCAAGAAAATATGATATTATGTTGACAAAAAATAAAAAAAGTCTGAATTAAATGCGGTGTGAGATTCAAAGTGTTACCCACCAGGAAGGACAGAACAACTTCTTACGAACTAGTTTGTATTCTACATATAAATAAAACTCAAAATTACAGGTAATTCACTCACTACAAAAAATTAAAGCAAGTTAACATCGGGTATTATTGTTCAATGTACGGCTTTAAAGAGAGTTTTCCAGTAAAATCTGTGTGTGAAAAAGTGGATTATGGAAGTGAATCTTTTAGTGCATTAAAATGATCAAAATAAATATTCGATTAAAATTTTTAATAATAATTAATTTTTTATTTATATTTCAGATATCCAAATAATACATATAATGTTAATAAAAATTAGCAAATATGAAAATTATTATCATGTTAGTACCTAAATCTAATTTTTAAATACAAGGACTTTATCAACTAAATACAGGTGGTAAAATTGCTTAAAAATAAATGAGTCATATCTATCAGTAATTATTTTCATGATAGAGTTGGAGCTAACCTGCACCCAGCCGAACAACGAAGCTGTTTTCTTTCTTACTAAGGCGTAAGTAGTCTTCCGTATGCGCCTTTGCAAACATGGCTGATGCACTGCAAAATCAGGGTAGACCCAACAAGACCCTGAAGCCGTTATTGTAATGGAAGCCCCTAGGCGTCGACAGCACGCTGTGATTAATTTGACCACAGATTGCACGTGTAGAGAATTTGACAGTAGGCTTTATGTAAAGTTATTTTTACTTGTTAACTACACCGCGCAAACCTACGTGCCAACATATTACATCGGACTGCCAGCACCCCACGTTCCCTTTTAATTTACAATTGTCATTTAGGTTATCGGTAACAAAATTCCCTAGGTACTTAAGTTCGCTGGTTGTCTTGACCGTTGGACTCAGCAGCACCATATCATCCGCGTAAATAATGTTATTAAAACTTACGTCATCGATACGTCATCCGACTCCTTTCCTGCTGAGTTCAACGATTATATCATTTATGTATAGGTTGAGAATCTTTGGTGACGTAATCCCACCCTGTCAGACCCTACATTGCAACCTTTACCTTTCAGAAAACTTATCGGCCCATCTCACATTATTATACTGATTGTTGTACCCGTACTGAAAAATTTTCAAAAGCTCCCCGGAAACTATTTATGGCGTAGCTTATCTCATAATAAACCATAATCTACGAGATTGAAAGCTCTGAAGCGATCTAAAAACATGCATATACAAGTGTATGGTTCTTTGTGTGATATTCAACAGTAAGCTTTAGGGCTAGGATAGCATTCTCAGTAGACAATTCAGACCGAAATCCAAACTGTGAATTGTGCAACTAAAAATAGCTTTCCAAGTTTATATCCAACAAGGTATCAAGTATTTAAGTCATAATTATTGCCAAAGCTATAGGTCAATAATTGCACTTATCTGCTACGTCACCTGTTTTGCTTTTAACTATCGGTATAACTATAGTCTGCATAAGATCGTGAGGCAGATACGAATGACAGAGACATGAAGAGAAGAACGTAGCGAGTAATCAAGCCAGGTGAGGTTCGGAATGCTGCAGGTGTTCGATGTTGTTATAATCATGGCCATGATAGGCATAATCATGGGGTAAAACGAATGAAGTTATGACTGTCATGATATCTCTCATCCCCGGACACGAGTTGCGATGGACCAATGTTTGAGTTCGTTCACCCCACGCACGCATAGTCGAACTCAGATAAAAACCTTACTGCGATGCTATGAATCATGCATCTGCTCTTGCATTGCTCGAGTAAGTATAGTATTTTTCTGCCCTGGCCTGACACGCGTGTTAAACACTATGTCATATAGGACGTTGAAACCATATGCATATTTAAGTCCTGCATCACGTACCTCTCACATGATTGCTATAAACCAGTTCGAAACATCTGGTAGCATAACTTAAGTATACGACTCTGATAAAATCAGTAACAATAGTATTATACATTCTATGTGTAGTGTTACGTGTAATTATAAGAAATCATTATACGCTAGGTTCCTCAAGTAACTTAAGCGACATTAATTTGCTATTATACATATCACAATACACTTCAATCTGATCACTTTTCCTTTCGCCCTATATAACTTTGTCACATGATGACTTTGAACTTCTAATTTCGTTAGTGTGTAACCTACAATCAACAACAAAGGGACAATTATCTGAGTAAAATACATCATAAAATATGTTGATAATGGTAAAAGTGAGCGAGTAAAGAGAGATATTTTTCTCAAAAAATTAATCTGTTGTAACGTTAAACGTCATGTAACTTTATAACATGAACAGCACATAAAAATTAAGTAAAATACACAGCTAAGATATTCGTTGTAGCGTTGGAACCTAGGCAATCTTGCACGACTTTTAATTTAAAGAACGAACTTTTTACAAGTTCCGTTTTAAATAAAAATATCATATGAAAACTTGTATGCTCAATAAAAGTTCATTTGAGTTTAGCTACGTGATATAAGAACAACCAATTTTACGATCAGTGTAGGTCATGTCGGGCATATGTTATTAAATTGTATTTCTGCGAATAACCTAATAAACTAGATAAGTTCTTTCCTTATTAATTTTAAGGATTAATAGTGACAAAATTGTATACCTAAACATAAAACATATACACTCACGCCTATCACCCCGAAGGGTAGGCAGAGAATACATACTTCCATTTGGCACAATCCTGACACACCTCTCTCGTCTCCTTCACATTCATATACGTACGCATAGATGCTCGTCGGTTAAGCGTACTCCTAATTTGGCCCTTTTTCAATATATTGCCAATGTGTTCCGCAAACTTTTACCAAGGACTTCCTTTTCCGACTCTGTCGTTCACTTCTGCAACATAAATTTGCTGTTTGTCTTTTCTCCTTTATTCTTTCTATATGATCACACCACCGAAGCATTCCATTGTTAATCCTGGTCACAGCATCATCTTGACGACCACACTCTTCTTTTATCACACAGTTATTTCTCCCCTGTCATTCAAATTCAGCCCTAACATAGTCTATTCTACTTTCGTGCTTCTTCTGCCATACACAACTCTCACTACCATAAGTTAAAGTAGGGACTAACACAGCATTGTGAATTGCCATACCTGCCTTTTTGGACACATTCTGACCTTTGAAAATAGAGTGTAGGGCCCCATTTACTTTATTTCCTGTGTTTACTCATCTTTCTATATCCTTTTCATATCTCCCATTCCTGCTGAATACACATCCCAAATATACAAACGCATCTACTTGCTTGACCTACTCCCCTTCTATTCCTATTTCACATATCGTTTTCCTTTTTCTTCTCTTTCAAAAACCATAACTTTCGTTTTATTTGCGTTCACTTTCATACCCCTTTTTTTTAAAAAGCCTGTTCATTACTTTAACTATCATTTTCAACTGTATCATTTTAAAGCTGTCAATGACGCAATTATAACTTGATCATCGGCGTACAGAAGGCATTTGACGGTTAACTCACCCATTCTCAATCCGCATTCCTCAACTTTAAAATTTTTCAACAAGGAAGCCACACAGCCCTGTCTGACACCTTTATGGATGCTAAAACAGTCCGAGTAGACCCCGTTAATCCTAACGCTAACTAGAGTCCCTATAAAGAAACTTTAATGCCTGTATCAACCCAGTGCTCAACCTAAATGAATTCAGTGTTTGCCGTAACACATCCCTGTCCATTTTGTAATAGACTTTTTTAAGTCCTTGAACGCAAAAAAAACTCTTTGGTTTTTGGCCAAAAACTTCTCCGCGATCAAGCGCATAGAAAAAACCTGATCTATACATCCCGTTCCCTTCTAAATCCCGCTTGCTTACCCCAAATTTATCCATCAGTTTCTTTCATGAGCCTTTCGATTAGTACCTCAACATATAGTTTTCCAACAATGCCAAGAATAGCTGCTGAAGCTGATACCACGGTAGTTTTTACAGTCCTGCTGCGACCCTTTTCCCTTATATATTAGAACAATCACAGCTTTGCACCAGTCTTCCGGTACCCGCTTCAGGTACCAACATAAATTAAATAAGGTTTACAACAAGCGTGCCACCACTTTTTCTCCATCCCCTTGCATTTCGAGAGAAACTTTATCATATCCGGCTGCCTAACTTGCTTTCATGCTTTTATTACTTCATTTATACTTATCCCCCAAATTCTTTCCTCTTATTTCGGAATTTCTATTTATTTTAGTTCATACGTCGTCTCTTCACTCATAAACATGCTTTTAAAATATTTCTTTCATCTC